TTAATTACAGAAGTTGAGTCAGTCGAAGTTATATTAACAGCTGCGAAAAGTGTTTTAAAATACATAAAATTGTATTTCCTTTCTAAAAGGTTTGAAAAACCTTTCGACAAAATATTTTAACTTTCGTTATAAAAATGTGCGCGGCGGTGTTATTTGCAGTAATAGATATGTCAATAAATACTCGGCCTTTTTGAATTTAATAGCCGAGGGTAGCAAAATATTAATTCAACTATTTTCAAATGACCCCTATATTATGCATTGATTACGGATTCAATTTGCAAATAAACTACGACAAATGATAAAAATAATCAAATTGCTGTCATTTGGCTTATTATAAACTCAGTTTTCATTCTTATCACTTCATCCTTCTTTCTTCTCTCCGAAAAAGTTTTATTTCACTGAAATTTTCCAAAACACAATAGGAATAATGTGTAAATGATTTCGACATAAGAGAAGTTCTGTAGATAGCGATATCGGGAGAAACCGGTGGTGAAATGAGAGCGAAACTGTGACTTAGAATGCATCTGCGTCGGGAGTCATCTTGGCCTGACAGGATAAGGAGTTCAATGCCAAACCAAAACTTATATTTAAATAAGTGAAGAACAAGATTGGAAAAAGGATTGATCAGAGCACAGTTGACTGTACTGAACGTATAAAAGCGGACGAACTGTGACTTAGAATTAAATGGGATGAAAATTGTAACGTCCGGTCCAGTTCCATCCGTTTACATTTGTAGCGTCGATTTTGGAACCAAATTTTGACTTGTGTGGGAGTAAGTCCCAATGTCACTGCCAGTCGTTCTCGTTCTGCTGCATTCACGTATCGCTGCAATTTGAAACGCTCTTCCAGCTCACTCACCTGAAATTCAATTGCTCATCTCCGTCATTTGCCGGTAGAGGAAGGAAGGGCTTTTGACCTGTTCTGTTTCATCTGGCCTATCAATTGCTAAATAAGTCAAAAATTACTTTCTGTCGATAACGCAGGTGTGTACGTATGCATTCATAGAATAAATAATACACACAAAATCAACAATTTATGAGACCCACCTGAGATTGGGTAAATAAAATGCGAGGCTTTCGTCGCGTCTGCTGCGATCGGAGCCGTACAGAAAATTTTGGGTCGCCATTGCTGTCGCAAGGGTTAGCTATCAAATCGAATCGCGAGTCAGTGTGCATGTCTGGATTTGTACGGTACAAAATTTTTAAAATTTTTACTCAGTTCAAATTCAGCAAATTGAAATACATTGACGGAAGTAAGTGCTGTTCAAGCTTTTTTTATAAATGTTTTATATGGAATTGGAATTAGAAAATCATATCTTAATATTCACTAAGTTACTTGAAACTCTAACGTAACAGTGAATCATTCCCAAACCGTTTCCTTTTCGAAATTTCACGCTGACGGTTAAGTAAACCAATCGATAATTCATAAAGTTATAGATTAGTGATGAACACTTACTTAAATATGTATAAAGTGCAAATTGCGGTACGACAGTAGTGGATGGTAAACGTTCAGAGAAACCCAAATACTGCATACCATCCGTCGAGGTTAGTTGTTCCAACGAGAAGTTCGGTGTTGGGAACACGGAAGATGGTACGTTTGGAATTGTTGGCAATGATGAAAACGTCGTGCTGTTCGCTGTCGGTAAACTCCACGGGAATCCGAACGTTGGCATTCGGGTACTAGGTACTGATACTGAGTTATTCCTTTGATTTACTGCATGCAACTCCGGTTTTCTGGACATGCAAGACTCCGGATAATGAGCAGACCAACGATGAGGTTGTTGAGCCGGATTTTGGATTAAATTTGTCGGTTGATGATGCTGATGATATATAGCCATTAATGGGGAGTTCGATGATTGAAATCATTGAATCCAATTGATGCAAGTGATGAGAGGCGCGCTTCGTGCCTTTAAAAGATTCTCACGCGGCTAATTTCTACCTTGAAGTGATTTTTTAGTCCTCTTCTTCATGAGGGACATCAGGAAATAGTGTGTCAAAGAGAGTGAGAGGAAAACGGGTTCTAATGGCTTCCGAGGTAATGCGAATAGATGTTACGGTACTGAAGTGTATTTACATAGTTAGCCAATCAGCGGTGCTCACTTCGAGGAGTTCGGAGCACGAAAATTGGAAAATGAGAAGCGAAGAGGGCAATAAAGGAGAAATGGATTGCATTACACACTTAAATGTGCCTTTCCTTGAATTTTGAACCTTTGTATCAATTTTCATTATCCTTCAAACAATCTACCAAAACATAATCTCTCTCTTGATTCTATCTTCCTTCTTATCATAAGCATCTTTGAAATTGCTGATATAAACAGAAAGGATGGGTCGATCATCCATTATATGATGTGGAACATTATATGATCGTTACTTTTTAAATTTTCCATTGTTTTAATTCCCATCCTCAAATAATTCACTCTCTAAATTCAACGATCTTTGCCTGTGTAAATGTATCAAATTTACATGTCGCACATACTTTCCTTTGCTGCAAAAAAAATTATTTTGCAATTATACTTAAATAATTACACAAAAAATGATTTGCTATACAGTTTATCGTCGGCAAAAAGGTCATTCATGCTATATATGAATGACTTTTGCATCAACGATAAACAGTGAATAATATCTTTAAATGATATTCCTCTTCTAACAGTATTATCAATCGATCAATTACTATTAATAGAAAGCAACAAATGAGAATATAGCACGACTCTTTTTAGCAAACTAAGCAATGAAAATTTGAATAGCTTGAAAAGATTTTAGAAAATTGACAAGTCCAATCAGCGTAAGTGGACAGGCAATGTAGAATACTCAACTGTAAAAGAAAAATGAAGAATCTACAATGTGAAAAATAAAAAATATTGCTTAGTGAAGTCACTTTCACTTTTCGAATTTTGAATGGCCACGGACGATTAATCAAAAAAATATGCGTTAATGTGAAGAAGCTTCGATAATAGTGTGACCATTTCGATTTGAAAAGACACTGATTTCAAACGATCAGCCAATTGAATATGAAAATTAAAATATATAAGTTAGCTTATCGAACAGTACCTAACACCTATTCATGCATTATTTTACTAAAGATGATCGACGTTTAGCAGTTCTCGAATTTCACCGCTTCTGCGGACAGTGTCCACTATATTTCTTATGATATGTGACAGATATCGATGTGTCTCTTCAACACATGTTCGCATTTTGTATTCGTCAGTTTTTTAACAATAAATTTTTCATAAAACGTTGCGCCCTTCACTAAGGAAAATCACCGTTGTAGCTGTTAAAACTAACAAATCTTTCGTTGGAAGACGAAAATCGTACAATTTTGTGATTGAAATAAATGAAAAAATTGCCAACAAACTGGAAAACCAAATGGCCAACCATATTTTGGTTCTCCGAGGTAAATAATGTACACGAAATGCTTTGGGTGAATGTACTCCGTTATGTCACGCCAGGCATATCCCTTGCGATTAAAAAAATTCCATTCAATTTTACAATTCATTTTAAAAAAATTCCAGTTAAACCATACATCTATCGGGATGGTAAGAATGTGCGGTGAGTAACTTCATGAGTGATACTAGAATCCTTTCAACCGAAATAAGCATGTCCGTGTGATTGTTTAACAGTTTTATTATTGAAACTCTTCCATCCATTTTGCAGGAACCCTTTACTTTAAGCATATTTTTCCACAGAACTCCTGTGGAGAAATATGCTTTCTATTACGGAAAAAGCAGCCAAAAATAAAAATCGCTTATTATTCTCAATGAGGAAAGAAACTCACTTTTCCGAAAGATTTCTTACTGATAAAAAATGAAAAACATTCAGTGCTACTAAAAGCCATGGAATGATAATAGCCAAGTAAAATTTTATAATGCAACAACTTTCACTTGTTACACAAGGCATACTGGATAAGTTTTAGACTGCACTGTGGTACAACATAAAGTTAAACCATTTACCAATTCAACGATATATTAAAAGCACCTCAAAACTTCCTAACAGAATATCCTGTCTTATGATGAACTCTAAACAAAATTGAACAAAGAACCTTGACATAATGTGTTATAACGATCAACATACGATTTGAGGAGTTATCGCTTTTTATACAAACAAGGCTTCAATTTCAACCCAATAGGTCGTTTCTGCATCACTTTACCAGTTTTGATAAATTCCAAAACAACAAAATAACCACCATCTTTTATCATCTATAAACTTTTTAATAAATGATAAGATAACCATCTGAATGTGTACTCCTTTCTATAATTCCGGACCAAAATCAACGAACCTTTCCAGTCATATCAAATCCCATTTTTGTTATGGCATGCACGAACTGTTTTACACTTATGAATCGACTGGCAACTTCGGCTATTTTCAAAAAACCACTGAAGATAAGCATAAATTGGGTCCAATAAAATTAAATTGATTAATTTCAAGAACTAATAAGTACAATACTTCCATGTCATTATTTAATAATATATGAAGTGATAACAAACCCTTTCTTCAATATTCGATTCGCTTCCCTTAAATATTCGTTCAGATTGGTTCCCATCAATGAAAGACAAAAAACAACAATATCCACTGATTCATTGTGTAGCGGGACCTATATAAAAACATACTTCAATTAGAAAAAAAAAAGGTTAAATTAAATGCACCGTTAAGTAAGTCTAATTCATGCTCAATGACTGAAGGCGTAATTGTAAAATCACTGCTGATAGTTAATCGTTCGATAGACAAAATATATTTTACGTCTCGAAGCAGTTTGACATAAGATTTCCTCTACCAGTCTTCTCATGATCACTGGAATGACCTTTAAATTAAAGAAAAAATGTCGATTTTTGAAATCCGTATTTGTTGAGGATAGTGTGCTTACAACTCCATACAAAATGAGTAAAATAGTAACTCTGTTATGCATACGAGATTAACAGTGAATTTATAGATGTATAACAGTATAGGAATAATAGAAAATATGAGGAAATATTAAATGTCCCTAGTCCAATTATGCTACTCATAACGTTAAGACTAATTAAGTGTACCGTTGACATGTCACACGCCGTAATGCGATCATTCGTGGCAACCAAATCGAAAGAGTGTACGGTGGCTATTTGTGACAATTTCTCAGCAATCGTTGCACTTCCACAGCCCAAATCAGCAATTATTAAACCATCATGTTTCAGCGATTTTATCCATTGAATAATGATATGAACAGGATTACACGGCCATTTCTTTACCTATAAACACTATATTATTAATCTAAAATATTATTTTCATTTTTAATTAACTACCTTCATTTTCTAAGCATGCATAATAATCCGACGTTTATTCTTTGTAAATATCATCGATTCACTGATATCTTCATAACATTTATCAGAAGCCTTTGATTCAAAATATCGATTATACTAATTTGCACATTAGATTGATTGTAAATGGGCTCAAACAAGTCAGCATGCTTTTAATAGAAATGGGTAAATCATTACACAATAAAATTTCCTCTTACTACACTTTGAACAATCACATATGCATTGGTTTGTACAATTCCCATTAGCAAACCTGTTTCTGATATCCTTTATGGTACAATTCGAAAGACTGCGGATCCTTCCGGAACAGTTCCATAGCTTCCGCACCACTCATAGTATATAATTGCTCATTGATATATCGAAATAACGAAGAATTCATTTCTTCTACGTCAATTATTTCTTCTCTATTCAATGCTCCATTTTCACTTAGGCCGTCACGGTATTTAGTCTTCTTAACTTTACTTTTCTTCTTTTTTTTTCTCATTTGCACATCACTTAAGGGAATGGAATGTTCAATATCTAAAACAACAAATTATAAAATGTAAATAGAAAGAAAAGAAATTCGCATCGTGTATTTACTGTTCTCGTGGTGATCATTATATATACATGTAACAACCTTTTTCTTCCCTCAGTTTTCTTTTCGCTTCCTTAGCAGCTTTCTTGCGAACTTTATTTCGCCATGGACGACGCTGCTTTCTCGGCTAAAACAACCAACTATTAAAAGCATTCAAAAAAATACAAGCCAAAAACGCTATCCTTCATAACTGCAGCACACGCAATTCATCATCTAAACGGCTAATTAATTAACCAATATAATTACCAACCCAATAAATATAACGTTCCATTCATTCATCACATTGCAATTACAATAAGAAAGAACAAAACTAACAGATTTTGTCATCAGAGTTTCTACTTCTTCACTGCAATCGACTTCGCCTTGTTTTGCGGAGAGTGCATTGTTCTTGTCCTCCAATTTCTCCTTCTGTCTCATCAAAATCTCGAAAAATAAAAGTAAAAACGAAGTGCATGTATAACAGAACAAGGCTAAAACACTCGCAAATAACTTCAACACTCTTTTGATTTCGACATTTTTCAATGGGATTGACTATGGCAGTGAGTAAATTTCGATCATCAGGCACATTTATTATCATTAAAAACGAAACTAACGAGTACCAACAAAGTTAATAAATGACTAACTCACAATAATGATATAATCAAAACTGGGACCAAATTAAGTACTTCAATGTACTATTCATATAAAATACAAATGTGAGGAAAATACAATATATTAACAAACTTTATTTTCAAATAATTAACTATATACCAAATATTATAAGAGTGCAATAAATAGCAAAATCATTTCAAATCCATCGAAATAGGACTGTCTGATATTGTTGTATGTCATCATTACAGTAACGGATCAGTACACTGATTACCGCCTATCTGTTTTCCCGAGCCCACGCTTGCCACAAAACAAGTGTTTCGGACGTTTGGCAAAGATATGCCTGTCAGCTTCACCTTTCCTTGCTTCGTGTTGCAAATTTCTCTGCTTCTTT